CCTGGGTCTTCACAACAAACACTGGATGCATACTGTGAAGGATATGCTTTTCATCAATTTACAGCTGAGTGCTCTAAAGCTCACTGAAGTTAAGAGATATGCTGACAACTAAGGGAATAACACTAAGCTCCTTGGATCCCTGTTCCAGATTATCCCCCACAAATCAACCCTAAAGCTCATGTAGAACGTAATGTCTGCCTTATGAAAATTATCATGAGTTAATAAAACAGTATGGACATATTAATGATTATTTAAATGCCATTCATACATTGCGCTGGTTCTTCATTATCTTTTATCCTATGTATTATTAGTCTTTGAAATACCATAGATCATATGCACCCTCAGTAGTAGCAAAATTTTAAATTATCCATGGTCTATTAAGTCTTATTATTGCTTTTAGAGGAACCCTGGTGGCGCCATGGTTAAAGTACTCAACTGCTAATCAAAGGGTACATGGTTTGAACCTCCCAGCCTCTCCACGGGAGAAAGGTGCTGCAGTCAGATTCTGTGAGGATGCCAACCCTTGGAAACCCTTTGAGGCAGTTCTGCTCTGCTCTACAAGGTCACTAGGGGTCAGAATGGACTTAATGGCATGGGATTTTTGTTTTGTTTTTTTATTGCTTTAGGTCAATGTGAAGGTCTGAACCTTTATGTTTGTCTTCAGGTATGTGACTTTTTGAGAAAATTGTAGTTGGAGAAGAAACTGGATAAGGCCTCACAATCCATGATATTATGAAGTATAATTTCTTAAAAAATACATTAGAAGGAGAGAGACGCTCAGCTCTATTATTATCCTTAAAATAATGCTGCCTACATCAATTAATGTTCATTTGCAATCAGCGCTTTCTCTGCCCTGTGGAAACATCCTCTTCCAAACACCCCTATCTCAAACCCCAGCTCTTTCACTGGAAAAAGTGATGTTTCCGTGGTGAAATGCAAGTTATTCTTTTCAGTTCTCAGTAACTTCTTAATATGACTTTTATAAACAAAGCATAGTTTGAACATTGTGAATTAAAAAGTTTACCTTCTTGACAACAGGAGTTAAAAAGGAAAGGTCAAAGGGAAAGTTTGCAATGAAGAAGCTGGATTCTTCTCTGCAGAACCTCAAAAGGTGTTACTTGCAAATAAAAAGCGAGCACTTGGTTTGTTGACAAAAATAATTTGAAGGACACATCTTATATGCATGCAGACCTCTAGATCTGAAGGCGTTTTCAATACTTCGTCTGACCCACTTCAAAAGCCAGGACTTCCCAGTGTCTTCCTTTGCCTTGATGTTTTGTTTTTGCTGACCTCCCACTTACTGTGTATCGCCTTCCTCTTACCCCAGGCTAATAGATGTCTACACATAGGAAGACCTTGAGAGCAGTGCAAGAGTTAAAGGCAAGCAAAGTAAATACTATCGTACACACCCCTCTGTAAGGACAGCTATCAAAACAATCTACAAGTCAATACGCAGATTGACACACAAGCTGAACAAGGGTGGGAAGAAGAGATGGGGCTATATTCAATCTGCATACAAGGTTGACAGAGGATATTTCGACATATATATGTTACAAATACCTCCATGAAGGTAGGTGAGCAAATAGGGGGCAAAGTTATTAAAACTTCTTACTATAGCTAAACACCTTGAGGCAGTGAGTCACTATGCCTAAGGGCTCGGGATCCTAGTCTCGGATGATACCAAGGGCGATTAGCATCCCATAGTCCATAAAAGCCACATTCTTCATCCTACTTCTGGGAGTAGAGACTGGAGTATTGAAAGCTCATGAGAGGCCATGTGAGCAGCAACTGTTGGTCTCTCCTCAGACAAAGCCAACAGCAGTGAAGAGAGTCAAGGCCTATGGAAACAAGTAGTCACAAAGGTCTAAGGGGCCATGGGAACCTCAGATCCCACACGCTGAGACAGAAGAACTGGATGGTGCCCTGCTACCATACTGAACACGCTGAAAGGGATCACAGAAGAGGGGCCTGGATAGAGTGGGAGGAAAATGTGGACTGAAATTCAAAATGATAAAAATGATTCTATCTTCTGGTTCGAAAGAGACTGGTAGAACACCCCCAGATCATGAGCCTTGGCCACACCTTCAGTCCCGGAACTGGTTCAATTGTCAGTCAAACCATAAACAGGTCTAGAAAGGGGAACAGTGACACTAGGGAGAATATTCAACCGTTTGAGGTCCAAGGGGCAACAATAACGGTCAGAAGGGTAAGAAATGAAGCAGGAATGCAAACAGGAACAGAGGAGACGCAGAATGAATGATGGTACATGCGTGCATTGCAATCAATGACATGACAAACAATGTATGAACTGTTCAATGGAAAACCGATCTGATCTATAACCCTTCACCAGATTCCCAGTGGAACGTTGCATTGTGAACAATAATTCACAATAAAACGATATGTTATTTCTCTATCTCAGGACTTCATTTTCAGGTCCTTAATGAGAGAGCAAAGCTGTCCATGCTTTTACAGGTGGCCTAAGGCGCAACCCACCCCCCAAAGGGATCAAAAGTCTTTCTGCTGTAAAGCCTGTCTTCATGAAGTACTCAAGAATACAACATCCTGTATTCTAACACTTCGTTAGTCCTGAAATAAAAATAAACTGGAAGAAAGTAAACATCCCCCTGTTTTAGCCAGTATTTCTAGACATTGAAACAGCTACCAAAAGTGGATACTTAAAAAAAAAAAAAGTGGATACAATAGACAGGCATAGACTCTCAAATAAACCCATTATAAACCAGGATTCATCTGGATCTGGGTCTTCATATCTACCTTGTGAAGTAACAAGAACAAGAAGGAATGTGTGAGTAATGTGGTAAAATTTCATCCTGAGGGTTGGCGCGACACTGTGTTGTTAAAGATTTCAAGATGGCAAAGATGTTCTACCTTGGAGCGTCCAGCATTGTCACGAGAAATGGAAGCCTGAGCTCAGAAATTAGAACTAGAGCAACAAAATAAACAAATAAACAAGCTCAACTCCTACATTAGAATATGTCTTAAATTTTTAGAAAGTTGGAGTTATTTAACCTAGACTTATTAACCCAAAAAATAACCCTAGAGACTGAACATTTTCCCCAAACCTTGCCTTTATGGTTAATAAACAACTAACCAGTAGGATCCAGAGGCAGGATGTCGCCTGTTTATATCTTGAAATGAATGACAAATTACAAACACTAAAAGCAACGCAAATCTTACAAACTCAACATTTCATTCTGTTGCCAAAGGGGCACGTGGTTAAGTAAGTAAAGTGTCTCTAACATGACTAGAGGTGGGGGTTGGAAACGAACCTGTGTTTCTAAGTAGAAATTAGTAATAAAGTGTGAAGAAATAGATTTCCAAGTTTCTCAATACTTCATCAGTGTAAAGTAAAACTTCAAGGGATATATATATATATATATATAGATATATAGATATATATATCCCAAAATTACTAACTTATATTTAAGATATAGGGTTACACTTAATTAGATTATTATAGGGATGGGCCTTGCCTGTTATGCTTTTTTAAAAATCCTCTGCCTAAGCTTACCAGTTAACAATACTAATAACATGACTCTACAATTCTAAGACTATAGCCATAAACAAGTACTTGTCTTGACAGTAAGGCTACAGAGAACAAAAAGAGAATGATCTAATCATCTATTGCTTGCACAGTACAATTGGTCTGCTAATTTGCTTCCACCTCTCTTATCATTTAGACAGCAGTCACTCTGTGCTGGCATCCAGGAAGACTACAATTCCAAGGCTGAAATTAGACTTGATTATTAAATAAGTAACTGGAGATCAGAAAGTGCACACGCTTACCCATTGCTATTATGAAGAAACAACTTTAGTGAGAGAATAAAAAGATGAAATTAAAATGGTGAAAATGATCCCTAGGAGTGGAAGGGGCCAACAAAGATAATTTTATAGAACAAGAGTTAGAGGGAAAAGAGAAGTCATTTAACACGTATTGAATCCTAGGCATGAAAAAGAGAAGTCATTTAACACGTATTGAATCCTAGGCATGATGCTAACACCTTATTCACGTGCTCACTTAGTCATCTTAATTATCACAATGACCCCATGAGGAAGTTATTATTAATATGTTTAAGCCACAGGTAGTTAATTATTATTAACATGTTTAAGCCACAGGTAAACAGAGAAACTCAGTTACACAGATGGTCAGTCTCAGAGCTAATCGGAATCTAGATCTGGCTAACCCCTAAGTTCATCATCATTCCGACAATCCACTGAAGCACAGATTAATCCACAATCCATTTACTTTAAAAGATAAGTTAGAAAGCTTTTGATCCTGAGCACTACCATGCGCATTTCTTTTCTCTTTGCTGTTCCCCTGGGGAAGCTGCAGAAGGAAGCCCATCAAAGCGAATGGAAATCCAAGCAGTGCCAGGCTAGCAGCAGTGACTTGCAAGTGAATTTGAGGCTTGAACTTTCCTGAGGGGTTTTCCTCAACGTTGGCTTTGTCATCCTAGCACCTCAGGGACGGCAGGCTGGTGTCATCTGTTCTCACGAAGGGTCCAACTCTGAGAACTGCTCAGCGTGACACTGAAAACGAGGCACAAGAGTCGGGGCCCGAACCCAAACCCTCTGCTGCTCCTTTCATCAAGTCCGACTACCTTCGGATGCAAAAAGTAAGAATCTTCCACATCGGACGCAACACTCTCTCCCCCTCGGTTGTTTGTTGCTTGGTTTGGGTTTTGTAAGTGGTGACAGATAGCCCTTATCCATGGGAACCACATACTCTGCCTGGATGTGTTTTCTTCCTACTCCACAAGCTCAGACGATGTGAATCAAACAATTGTGCGGTAAAATCGCTGCTTTCATTTCCTTGATTTTTACCGGAATGTCCCTACTGAAATGGCTAGGTTTAAATGATAGCAGGTGTGCATCACAAGTGATGCCATTAGTCTCGAAAACCGAGAGGCCATTACAGTAAAAGCAATTCCCATTACAGCAACACATAAAAATATTCCAGTAAAAGGTAAAATTGAACTTACATATAGCCATGGGTAGAAAAGATGTGCTAAGATATTCAATAATATCCTTGTGTAGAAATGGAGGGAAGGTAGCTAATGTTGATATCATCGTGTAGGGCAAAGTACTCAGAAGATCATCATTGAGAAAGGGTAACAAACATGTAGTTGTATAAAATATTGACTGTCCAAGATCTGAAAAACAAAATTGAGTAATCAGTCACTGAATATTTCACTATCAGAAAGATATGCTCATTTTATATGTTAATGAGTGGTCTAAACTATCATGGGCAACGATTCCCTCCATCCTAGTAAGAGTTCTGAGATAGACTACTTGGTGTGCGGTCAGTTGCTCAATAAATGATGGATAAGCACCTTTATATAAATGGCTGCCACCTAGCTTGTCCTCAACACCTTATCAATGGTCAGCAATTGATGTAAGTACTGATATTGATGTAAGTAAGTCCCGGGCTTCATGACATGGAAGCGCTTGCCATCGGAGCATGAATCCTTCAAACCACCACCTCCCACGCCAGCATGCTTACCTCCATTCCATCCTTCTCACCCGGTATAACCGAGGCACCAAACGTGCTAGATTATTTGTCCACTGGGATTTTAGAACACGGATGCAGGACTCTAAATAAAGCCAGGCTACTTCTGCCCCATCAGCAAAAGCTGCGTGTTCCTGCAACTGCAGTTGGGGCCACCCGGTGATGGCCAGCCCAGCAATCGACTCAGAGTACACCCACGTAAGGAAACGCACTGATGCTCCATGGCCCACACGGCTTTACAATCCTCTTCCCGTCAACGTTTGCCACGTGGGGAGAATAACAGTCCCTGCCTCCCTACATTAGAAAGGTTGTGAAGAGATTTAAACGGGATCAATGGAAAGTGCGTTACATAATACAAAATGTGTGCTCCACACTAAAAGGTCCTGGATACAGTGGGAGGAAAATGTGGACTGAAACTAAAAACCATTTTTAAAAACATGCTTCCTGGTCAGATAGAGACTGGTGGAACCATTGGTGCACCTTCATGTCCGGAATGAACTCACCCCCACGGCTCACTTTTCAGTAAAACCAGAGATGGGTCTGTCAGAGGAACAGTAACACCAGGGGAGGGCGACACACTCAGACTCGTCAACCACCTGATATCAAAGGGGAAGCACTTACCCAAGGTCACAGGTCAGAAGGGATAGAGAAGGAGAAATGGAAACAGGAAGCAGGGAGGAAATGGGATCGTGAGGCTACCTTGTGGAGATGCAATCAATGGCATGGAACCAAAGGTGTCTGAGTGGTTGAGTGGAAACTGGAAATCCTCTCAGTAACCCGTACGCAATTCGCCGTTTAAAAATGTGTGCACTATAAATATGAGCTGATGTTGTTTTATGATTACATTATTATTACCTGCACCCAGTGTTAAAATAGAGGACATTAAAAACAACAACAACACCTTACTCGTACTTTGAGGGCAGTTAGACCAAAACCCATTACACTGAATAGATATTTCGAGGGTCCAGCATCCTGGCAGCGCTGTGGGTTAGGCACTGGGCTGCTACCTGCAAAGGTGGTGGTTCCAACCCAACAGCCACTGCGTTGGAGAGAAGGTGAGGTGTCTGCTCCCATGAAGACCTACAGGCCCAGGAGCTCTGTGCTGTGTGTCGGCATCAGCTCAATGGTCATGGGTGTGGGGGTCAGGGAGCTGTACCTGTACATACACAGGTCATTAGCCAAGGCTCGATGATGAAGACCGGTCATTATAATAGAACCCATAAGACCTTTGTTTTGCAGCAGACTTATCTTCTTCATGCTGTTTTGATTCCCAATGTTATTTCTGATTATTATTAAAATGAACCGGCCATCTCTCAGCAGACACACCAACTGCCAATTGAGAGAATATGGCCGCATGGTACAGTGGGCAACCTGAGACCCGAACTAACAAGACTGGAAATTCACAGAGGCATGGCTAAGAATTTGCTGAGGCTGTACCTAGCATGCACTTCATCACATGCTGCATTCGCAGATCATTTTAATCTAATTACAGACCATTTATACTGAAAAGTACCTTCTTTGGATCACTCACTCACTGCCATCTAGTCATGGCTGCTTACAGGAATAGAAAGCCCAGTCTTTCTCCCAAGTTGCTGCTGGTGGTCTTGAACCGCCGACCATGTGGATCGCAGCCCAACACTTAACCACTCTGCCACCAGGGCTCCCAGCTTTCATATAAGGAAACTAAGGCTTGGAAGGGGGGAAGTGGTTGTCTGCGATCATCTGAGAACTCATAGATAAACAGCAACAAGCACACAGTCTAATTCTCTTCCCTGGTGCCTTATGGACCCCAGTGTGTATGGGGGGCGGGGGGCTGCACAGGATCCAGTTATGGTGCCGTGGTTCTCAAACGCAGTATGCCACAGAGCTTGTCTGAAATCCTGGTCCTTAGAACCCACCCCCCAGTGGCCTGTAGTCAGAAGTCCTAGGATGGGACCCAGAATCCCATGTTTTTAACTGAGCAAGTTCCCTAGGTGATACTAATGTTCTTCAGACCACCCTTAGAGACACAATTCCAAGGCACAGTCTAAAGGGCCTTTTCCAGCACACAATACATAAATAACAGCAAAGAATAAAATTACAAAATAGCTCTAGATAGAAAAGCAAAAATATCAACCATCCCCCTGAAGCTGTCATAATTCCCATATGAATTGGAAGTAAATGGGCTGTGATCAACCAAAGCCTTCTTCTTCAACCAGGAGACCTGGTGGCACAGGGGTTAAGTGTTGGGCAGCTACAAAGATTGGCACTTTGCCACCAGCAGCTCCCTGGGAGGGAGAGGAAGCAGTCTTCATCTATAAAGGTTTACAGCATCAGAAACCCTGCTGCGTGTTCCAGTCTGCTTTATAGAATTGGTGTGAGTCAGATGGGACCTAATGGCCAAGGGTTGGATTTGGTTACGTCTTAAGCAAGGGGCTTTGAAAGCAGGACTGCTCCCCTCAGGCGGGGGGCCTCTCGGATGGTCCACAGTGCAGCGAGATCAGGACTGGGAGACAAAGACAGGGTAGGTGTCCGTTCACTGACCAGTTCATGACAGCCTTCTGTGCCAAGATCTCTCTCACCCAAGTTCGCAGCTGGGGGAGGAGCACAGTGAAAGAGGCTGGGCTTAAGATGCTACAAAAATAAATAACTAAACACAGCAAGCAACTGGATACAGTTCCACATTTTAAAAACTCATCATAACACAGAATTACAAGCATAAGGGGGAAAAACAACAAACTCAATAGGCATCATTTTTCATTATGTATGAAAGTAGATTTTTGTAAACTTTTATAATTAATACATTGTACTAGACAAACCATTCGGCATTCTCTTAGGAACGTAACTACAAGGTGAAACGACCCCACCAACCACCCATGCCCCCCAATTCTAATTTTTCCATATAGCGAAACTGGACTTATAATACTTCCAAGGGACCAAATTATCAATACTTTAAAGTTAAGCAACTAATGTTTAAAAAGTACAATACTTTAAAGTTAAGCAACTAATGTTTCAAAAGTACATTTCTGCCTCACCCAAATCGCTTTTTATTGTACAGTTATTCATTCCGTTCTCTCAAACACAAGATTGGGTAGTTAAGCAGTGGATGATATGATATCTCCCTCAGGGGTTAGAAGAATGTGGTGAGCAAGCCAGAGAATGAATTTCACCACAGACGCCTAGCAGAAAGGGGGAAGAATTAAGGAACGATGCTCCGGTGCCCGTTCGAAAGCACCAGCCCATGCCGCGCAGGGCGGATGGCACTGAGCAGCACCTTGTCACCGCAGCTGGCTGCTGTGTTCCCCTGGGAGTTCTCGGAACTTTCTCCGTATTTAAACTCCGGAAGCCAGGAAAAACTGCGCCCCGGGGAGATTGAGTGATTTGTCCATCATCTCAGAAAACTAGCCGGGGAACTGAGGCCTGCACCTCACGCTCTGCCTCTTCCTTTTTCACGGGGCCGGAGGTCAGGTTCACAGTCTGAGTCCCCCAGTGATAATGCACGCAAGAGTCTGCCGGGCAAGCAGATGAGGAGGGGAGAGAGAAGCTCTTGTTAGAGCCTTTCCCCTCTCTCCAGCTCCTTTGCCCCCAGCACAAGCCCACTTGGGGAGCATCCCCCTAACAGTGGAACAGTCAGCAAGGATCGGCGTGGAAACCATAATGAAGTCTAAGGGTGAAAAAAAAAAGACAAAGACCTTCCAAATGACTGAGTATGGTAACAACTACGGTCTCCAAGCCCCTCGCTCAACCTCCGTAAACACCCATGTATCTTTTCGTAGGTCTTAATGAGCTGCTCACCGTGTTGGCCATGCTGTAGTAAAGGTACTAGATCCAGGAGAGTCACCAAAGTCACGTAGAGGCCTTGATAGTCCAAAGAAGGGTAGTCTGACAACTGAGCATCACGACTTTGCGGGCCGCGTTCGGAGGGAGCATCTCGCAGGACGCTGTAAAGGAGGGAGCGAGTGACAGTAGGGTTGATGGAACTGACCTGCGGTCTTAGAGATGGGGTGAGTGGGAATGGCACAGGAAAAAGACACATGGTCATGGGCACTGTCAAATTGGAGGCATCTTGGTTTTCCTTCTTCCCTGTGCGGGACAAAATGCTGTTGGGGGGACAAAGAAAAAAAAGAGACAACAAAGACACAAAGAACAGCACATTACATTGAAATGACACTCTAAAACAAATAAGAAAACACCAGATACGCCCCGCATGAGATGCAGTCGCCACACCAGCAGCGTCTACCAATCTAGTACCAGGCGCCTAGTTCACGCGCCGAGAGACCGAGAAGTCAAGGTCCATTTGGTGGAAGTGTCGTTGCATCTCATGTGTTATCTGGTTCATAAGGAGCAAAAATATAAAAATGCATGTTTCAGTGCCAAACCCATGTTTTACAGTTTATCCGTGTTAGTGAAGGAGACATTCCCTGGGAGTGAAAACAGTGGCTTTGTCTAAACAGGAAGGGTTTTGTTTGGGGGGATTTTTTTCCCCTAAATTAAAGGGAATTTCCAAAAGAAAGAATGTTCTCAGCAAGACTATTGGAATCTGGTAAGTAAAAACGTGCAAAATATAGGTGTGGCACTTGCAGAAACATGTTTTAGCAAAGAATAAACATGTGTGTTTATTAAGAAAGTCTTAAAAATCACATGTTTATTGCATCAAAATAATGTCTATATGTATATTATGATACTGTTTCATGACATTCTGTCAGTATCATTTGAGATAATGAGGTTTAAACAGGCATATGAGTTTAGAAATAATATATATTTCTAAAAGGTTAGCTAAACTACATTGGAGAAGCTATAAAATAATATATAATAGATGATCTGCAGCGTATGTCTGTGAGCTAATGGTGATGATTATTTACGTGTGTGTGTTTTTTAAGTTTGCATGTTGGGGAGGAAACATTTTAATTTATGAATACAAACAGTGGTTTATTAAATAGTTACTTTTAAAAGTCTAAGAACTAAGCAAGCAGTATCTGTCATAAAGCCGAACATCAGACAGAATGATCTCATATGCTACTGCTGCTACTTACGTTATTGCTCAACAAAACTCACTAAAAACTAAAGAAAAGATCATTTAGAACGTTAAAAAAAACTTTTAGTGGGAATAAAAGTAAAATCTAGAAATAAATTGGTTTTCTTTTAGCCTTAAGTTTTACATAAAAGTTTTGCCATGAAAAGTGATGAAGCAGAAAAGTTAAGTTAAAAATAGAAGAAATTACTGCTTAGCCAAATGTTCATTTAGTTTTTTTTAAATTAACTTACACTATTTATCATTAAAGACAACAGCTATACTGATAATATCTGCTGTGCTCACAAAGGGTTTTTATACAGAACACTTATCTGTTAATCAAAATCGATAACAATTTATAAATGCTTCTTTACGTAAAAATAACCTCATTTTACACGTAATCTACCTGCATCAAACATCACCAGGTTCTTAGTTAAAGTACTACATTTACAGTTCTGCAGTGGGGTGAAGAATTGGTTAGTGCTGGCATGCTTGCTAATGTTGAGTTTACATTTATCTTTATTTACTCTTACTGCAAAGAATGTTACAATGTAAGAAAAATGACTACATGCTTTTTATTATCCATGTGCCTAATTTACCTCGATTTCCTTTGTCTTCTGTTACCAAATGTCCAAGGGAAAACAATTGATAATAATAAAGATAATTTCAGAAAAAAATTAAGTAAGACTTCTTGGCAAAAAATAACGTTAAGATTTAGTGTAATTTTTTGGCTTTTGCTTTTTTTTTACTTTTAAAGGGATTTAATTGACCTCTTTTGTGTGTGTGATGTATTTGACTTTATAAGCTTATACTCTACAATGGAGTAATATCAACATTCCAGTTACCCCTGCCTTCATCTCTTATAAATACCATCAGCTTTTACATCAGACCTTATGCTTTTCTCATAAAGCTCAATCACTCCTACAGTACTGTCCGTAAACATGAGATCCTTAAGGAGATCAGTCACCTAGCACAACTCTCCTCCGGTAGGGCTCTACTCTACCGGAAACCCCTTACACTCCCAATGGAGAAAGGGCCAATCAGGTTCAGTCCTTAACAGCCGACCGCCAACATCTTTTCAAAGTTATAAGATGTGGACCTTGAGGAATAGTATTTTGTCTTAGAGAAGAAAATCCTATCATAAAAGGATGCTATGACATTAGAAATAAATAAATAAATAAACTCACTACCGTAAGTCAATTCCAACTCATTGCAACCCCAGAGGGCAGAGTGGAACTGCCCCGGCATGGCTCAGGGCCGGGCTGTGCTCCGTTCCGGGGCGCACGTGGTGGCATGCGTCGGAACCGAGTTGGCAACACCTAAACAACAACAGCATCCTCGAACTTAAATCCAGTGCCCTTACCAGACTTTTCCTTCGTGGTGGAAACATGGCACATTATTGTCCTTATATTAAATTAGTATGTTTCCTATAATTTCCCCCAAACCAAACTCATTGCATCAAGGCGATTCTGATTCACAGCAACCCTAAAAGACAGAGTAGAACTGCCCCTGTGGGTTTCTAAGACTATAACTCTTTAGGGGAGGAGAAAGCCTTGTCTTTCTCCCACAGTGTGGCTGGTGGCACAAGTACTTGTCAACTTCCCTCTGGGGACACTCCTGGGAGACGGTTCCCTTCCCTGATAGGTTGGGTTCCCTGGGGTAACCACAGCAGCTTCTTGCGTGCAGGAAGGGCAGAAATGTCAACCGTGGAACAGTAACTTCTCTCTCTGCCTTTGCATTTGAGGCTGAGGGGGGAATGTGGCTGAAAATGATTTTTCATGAAACCAATTTGAAAATACTGTTCATGTGTTAACATAAGGAGATGTTTTCATTTGTGGAAAAAAGTAAGAAGGGCTCATGGATCAATGTATAATGCATTGTGATTTTTATGATATTTTGTGAGGTTTATTCAGAAAAAAACAAACAACTTACTTCCCCAACCATACTGTCTAACTTGGGAATGAGACAGTCATTCTCCCTCAGAAATTCTTTCCCAGCGGTCCAAAGACCAACCCGACAGGAGCATGGGGAGCGCCATGCTCAGAAGAGTTAGACCGGCTTGTCCCCTTTCCTCCTCCCTCGTGTGGTCCTCTCAAGGAAGCACTGCTCTTCCAACATCAAGCGTAGGGCGAGAAGAGGGCATGAGAGGAAAGATGGGAAGTTGCCCGGAGGCATGTACAGCACAGGAAAAACTAACGCCAACGTAAGCTTTCTGGAAGACTCTGAATTTGACCTCGGAATGGGATCTTTGCCCCGAGCGCTTCAAGGTACTCTCAAACTACTCCGTGAATTTCAAATCAACATGTGAAGAAGATATTTCTATTTTTCCTAAGCAATTAGAAGTGAACGATCCAATGAAGAGCGGTGCCTGGGTTGTCTTTTAAAACATAGTCAACCTTTTCAAAACCATTAGCAGCAAGCCGCTCTCCACAAACTCAGTGATGCTGTTGTTGTTTTAATGCTTTGCTCCAAAGAGAGAACTGAAGAACTGAATTCCAAAAGAATGTCTGATGTACAAGGAACTCTGGGGACCTTTCAGTGTTCTGCCAGGTCAAAGGCGGGATCTGCCACAACAATCTGCGATCTTTCAAGTAGGAGCCACAGACTGTTTGTCATGGAACATGGACAAACTCCTCTACGCGAATAACAGAGAATAAGAGATGATCCCTGTTGTTTCTTACAGAGCTGAAAGCGTACAAAAAACTCTGAAGTTGTGTTAGAACACAGGTCCGTGCTCAATTAAAATGAAGACATGTCAGCCTTCAGTTAAAATTTCACCCAGCACCCCACTGCACTTTTGGATTAAGTCAATATTCTAGAAGGGCTCCCACATCGAATGGAGGAATGAACTAAAAGTCAATTCAGTTCAGCAAAGAGCCGGTTCAACACATAGAAACTGCCTTCCATGAACCTAGAGTTCCGAGAGCCCAGCATTCCATCGTCTCTCATGGGTTAAGTGGACAAGGGAGGAGGACCCTTTGACTGCTGGGCAGTCATTGATAATACATATACTCTCTCCACTAACAAGCTTTGATGGCACCAGAATAGGAGCTCAGCTGCTAACAGAAAGATCAAAAGTCTGAACCCACAGAGGTTCCAGGGAAGAGCCTAGTGATCTGCTCCTAGGCAGCCCTGTCGGGCAATTCTGTGAGTCAGAATCAATTCAACAGCACACAACAACAAACTCGCCTATGGAGTCAATAAACTGCAATTAAACGCCTTGGCGTGTGTGTCCAAGTTCACTGTAACTGTCAACCCTGGCCAATCATCTGTAACTAATTGCTGAGTAAGAAACGGGACTGTTGGGAATTGAAATGCTGTTCACTTTGGGTGTTTGAGATGTCCTGAACACTGCCCTTGTCCTCTTAACCTCAAAGAGAGATGACACTACTCTATAAACGCATCAATGCCTTCGATCCCCAGGGCTCAAACCAAGTTTGTAATAACCAAGCGGGCCTGTGATACGATAACTAGTACTACTCAAGAAAAGCAGCGCGGAGGAATTTTTGAGAACAGGTGCTTTAGAGTAGAACTACCTCACCTGCCCCGTGTCCTGAGTCAGTTCTGACCCACAGCGACTCTACAGAACAGGGTTTCTGAGCGTGTCCGTCTGTGCAGCAGCAGATTCCTACCTCCTTTCTCCCCTGAGCAACTGGTAGACTCAAACTGCCAACCTTTCAGCTATCAACCTCCTGCTTAACTTGCTACGCCACCAGGAGTCCTTTCATGGATTAGGACAATCATGATTAAATTCTGGTCCCATCACTTGTTAGATATGTAATATTGGGGGATGTTCTTAACCACTCTGTTCCTTAATTTCATTATCTGTAAAATAGTTATAATAGTATATTTAGTATATTTAAATAGTATAATCGTATATTTCTGTTCCACCATATAGGGTCGCTGTGAGTTGGCATCAACTCGATAGCAGCGAGTTTGGCTTTCTTGGGTATAGAATTATTATGAGCTATCCAATGAGATGGACCACCAAAAATGCTTGGGTTACTGCATTTCATGTGTATTTACTATTGTGACAACCTAATGTTGATATTTTAATTACAATTGTAGCTAGTATTACTGTGGCAGTTACATCATCTCCTGTCAAGTTGCGAAGGGGTAGAGTCTAGCCTGTCAATCAGGTCATAGCCAATGAGGCCTATTGGGGGGTGCAGCCTTCTCCTGAGGATTCTGGGAACTCCTGTCTTCCTCCCTGGAGGTGGGACACACACTCTATCTGCTTTGTCTTCCTGCTGACAAGACAGATGGATCCACAAGACTTTTCACTCACTGGCCTGTGATCTTCCTGCATTCAGCGTCTGTCATTGCATGTGTTGCGTGGGTCTGAAGGAGAATTTATAGACTGGTATCAGACATATGGGCTATGATCAGACTTACAGACTTGATCTGGAATGGACTGGGGTGTTTTCTTAATGTACAATTGCGCTTTTATATAAAGGTCTCTCTTATACACATATGTGTGTCTCAGGATGTTTCTCTAGTCAACCCGGACTAACACAATTACCATGAGTAATAGTTGCCGATGTTGTCTCCTTTTCCAATTGGACTTAAGCTGAACAGTGTAGAATCTTCTCGAATGGGCCACATTAACAAGCTTCTTTACTACCAGTTTCACCATTAACATGCTATCATCCAATGACTATATTCCAATGACCCATTGTTCAAGAAAATGGAATCTTCATGTCTTCCATACATGCTTTTCTTACAGACATAGAGTCAACTCTGACTCATTGAAACCCCAGAGGGCAAGATAGAACCGTACCCGTTTCTGAGACTGTGACTCCTTACAGGAGTAGGAAGCCTCGTCTTTCTCCCGAGGAGTGGCTGGTGGTTTTGAACTGCTGACAATGCAGTCAGCAGCCCAACACATAGTCACTACACCACTAGAGCTCCATGCATGCTTTACGATCCTAAATGTCTTAGTTTTTTGGCACAATGACTAAGACCTGAGCAAAAAGCTCTGAAGTGCCAACTGGGATGTCACAGTTTCTTTGCAAATGGAATTCACAATCTGCTGCCTACTGAAAAGTGTCTCTCACATCGAGAACCTTCAGAATTTATAATAAAGGAAAGTGCTTCCCTTGGAGAACCTTGACCTCAAATTCAAGAGAACTCTCATGAGAACTGAATCAGATGCCTCGATTTATCTGTATCTGATTATCACGAAGAAAACTGGGCTAATGATTTCACAGTAAAGAGAAAGAAGATATCCTTTTGAAGGATCCTAAACTCACTATGCAAGTATAAACTCTACTCATCTGACAAAAAGAAGCCCTTTGATAGCGAATACAGAGAGACAACTAACAATTCTAGTGAGCGAAACATATTCCAAAGGCAAACAAGAAAACGTGAAGTAGCAGATCTGCAGAAAATGGGCAGCTTCTTTCGAGAAAGCATTTAGTCCTTAGATCACTGGGGAGAAGCAGCACCATTGCAGGGACGTGGGTTCTTTACCGACCCCTGAATGCATCCTTGTCCTCATCGTAACTCATCGATGAAACATTGGCTGTCATGAAACGAAAAGCACCTATAGCTCCAAGCTGATCCTAGATTTCCTAAATCCGGTTTGAGATAAGAAGATCCTTGTCATGGAAAGCACCAAGCCCTGGAATTTAATGGAAAGTGAGGTGTTCCTACTTCCTCTTGTGTCTCACCACAGAAACTTCACTCTGTCCTTATGATTTGTGTTCCCTAATGAGAAGGGGGAAGCAGATGGGTCCCTCCTCCCGAGGGCAGTTGTAAAAGCGTTCTTAGGTTCCTCATTCCAGAGAAGGAGAGAATTTCAACATCAAGGGTAAAGCATGTAACACAGGACGTGTTACAAAGATTAAAACTCACAGTCATTACCGTAGCTTACACTTCAGGAAATAAGAAATATTCATGATGAGAGGAAAAATGCTACCAAGTTATGACTCTCTAGAAGAGCAAAGCTGTTTCCTATTCCTGATATTAAACATGACATAGTCTCCGTCTAACCCCACTCCATATTACTGGTGCCATCTAACTCCCATCGTTTGATAAACCTTTCGGAAAGACATTTGGCTGAGGAGAGCAGGCACTAGCCGCACATCCATCTATTTCCAACAGGCCTGTGGCCTCAGCTGCTGACTCAGCCTGAGGACTTGAACCCAGACTCTTCTGGCAGAGCCCTAGAAAATGGAAGGCCCTTTGAAAGGTTCAGCTCAATAAAAACGTGGGCCCCAATAAATTCAGCAGTACTACCTGACAGTTCTTTCAAAGAAGAGGATTTGTTAAAGCTTACCTTAACAAAGTCTGAGAAAAGTATTTCAGGGTGTTTGCAATATCTGTTCCTGAAGGGACAGGATAAATGTTGTGAAGAACCCGGTTATGATATTCCTGCAAGTATCGGATCTTGGAAGCAACTAGATAAAAGCAAAACAAGAAAAGAAGGGTCGTCTTGTAATAAGCATTAGGCAGAAGGCTGTTTGGTTAGTAATCAGACAGTGGATCTTAATCACTAGTTTTCATGCAAATTTTTACTAGGATTCCATGATAGAATTACAAAATACTTCCAGTTACTTATCCCAATGGTCAGTCCACAAAATATTTTCAGTTATCTGGTTACCACCCCATTCACAAACTACTCATATTTTTGATCACTAATGAAAACAGCACTTCAAATGCTTTTATAATCCTCCTCAACTTGCCTTATTATTAGCAATATGACGATAGATAAAAAAATCTCTGCACCAGAGAATTATATTTCATATTTGTTAACTAAAACTGTTAACTAAAACTGAAGGAGGAAACTCAAAGGTCTTTCTAAAAAACTACTGCAAAAGAGGAGGTCCACTGCGCAAAAGCATCAGTTGCAACCAGGTTTTGAGCTCCGTGAGTGATGATGGAAGTATGAGAATATGTTACGAGGCGATGACCCTGGAGTGTACTAAGCAAGAACACAATGATAGTGCGGTCATAAAGATATTTTAAAATGAAGGTCACATCTCTCTTCCAAAGGATTTCACAGATTAGAAAACTTCCTAATCGCTCCCTGAGCTTGGCTGCCCAGCTCATCTCCAGATTCAGGAGCGACAGACATAGTCATTTACCCTCCTGCACCTACCTGCGGTCACCAGCATGGTCCGTATTCCTGACCTGACTTGGGACCTGGTGAGCGGCCCAGTGCTAGTCATTCCTCTTTGCCAATCCCAAGGAGCCATGATGATCAGCTTCTCTCAGGTCTCTTCTTCCACAGAGTTCTCAAAACCGTCCATTCGTCCTTTCCATCTTTAAGGCTACCAAGAGAGCCTCTTGGGTGGTATGGCTTGCTGCCAGCAGTTAGCAGAAGACATATCGAGTCCTGGAGAAGCAAGGCCTTGCTGGTCCCAATATCCAATCGAAATTAGCTCCTGGATGAACTCTTACTGAAATCCTGGTTTAGGCAACTTAAATAAAGTCAAACTGCTTTTGACAGGGGGGCGGGTTGTAGAATCTCAGAATGTTGACCTATCAGAACTGGAAAGATCTTAGAGACTTTTCTCTGTATGCACTTCGTTTTAAAGATGAGGAAAATGAGGTATATGGGTCATCGATGGCAGAACTAGGACTAGAACTGAGATCTTTTGAATCTTTCCACTAGGACATACTCTTCAGAAGGTGATTCTAAAATAAAGTCAGTATGTATGTAGTGGATTTGCATGTCATGGCGTCAAAGCACCTGGCAACTGCCATTCAATTAATCATTGATTCTAAACCGGACAGATGCACTTACCAGGCTGGTCTTTCCTTCCTTTTTCTACTATACCACATCTGGAACATGATGGGCATTTTCCCCACTCCACTGTTTGCCCCCCAAAAATCTAGATCGCACGTAGTGATCTCTTGAGTTTTGGATAGTACATCAGTTCTGAAGAAAGTAGTAAGTTTATATCCACGACTCAATTTTAACCCCAAAACTGGTCGAAAATAACTTTTTTTTTTTTTTTGCTGAGATAAAACAGACCTAGGTGGTGCTTTGAACTGTTTCATTTATATCATCAACCAAAACTTATTTTCTTAGCAGTGTTTTTGGTCAACGGTTCTTTTAAAAAACAAAACCATGCTACAGAAAACCCCACATTAAGATCTAATTCCCAAGTTTTAAACATTTGAGGTATTTGGTAGGCCAGCATATACTTTCTGCCCATCCTCCATCGCAATAATGCTTGGTTACGGTGATTTTTCTCAGGCTGTAATATTCAGCAGGTCTCTGTAGAGTATTTCTGGAATGCCATTAATCATTCCACCACCTAAAAAAGAAGGCGATGAGAGTGCACGATCTGTACAGTAAGCTCAAGTGGAGAGAGAAATGCCCTAGATCTCGCAACTAGCTGCTTTGCTCATGATTCAAGAGCTACAAAATTGATGCTCTCTAAAGACAGCGAGAACGCTAAAGTGTTTGCAGAATGAATGAAGACTTATAGTTCCTTCCATGAAGATGCGTCAGTAGATCCCTTCCAAGCATGCAGGAGAGAGCAGAGGCTAGAGCAGGTGTTTTAATATTTTACAAAATACACATTGTGTTGTCATTTATTTCCTTACCTCTTTACTTTAAATTTCTTGAAGGCAGCAGCTCTATCTTTGTTGTCTCTTTTCCCCAGCACAGCCCACTGCCTGACACTTGCTAGGTACTCACTACATTTGTAGAAGAAATGAACCCTTCAATAATAGCACTGACCACTTGGGATCTATGTGTGCAGTTCCACACATAAAGACAATAGCTGATGAGTCGGGGTGGGGGAGGAAGTAATGATGGGGGAACAGAAACAGGCTAAGCCAGTGAGGCATCATCCAAAACAACAACTGACAGAGCAGGCTGTTCGTGCTAATCGATGCCTTGGTGAATGCAGCGGAATCTGAAGAGGCACAGATGTAACTTTCGTGCAAACAGCCAGAACGGTCCCTAACACACAGTAAAATTGTAATTGTGCTAAGGATTTAAGTGGCACTCATTTACAACTCAACGGTCATACAAAGGAAGTGCTCTTTTGATTGCTTAGTAAACCCATTTGACTGCCCAACCAACTGATCCCAGGATAGATTTCTTGTGAGATAGCTGAATGCTCTTTCAGAAACTCGGGTAATTAGACAGATTGGATGTAGACTAATCATCTCCAACCTCACCTCACCCTTGGGCAACACTTCTTAGTTAAGGTCTTTCTTCCACTCTCTTTTAATCTCCGTTTTCATCCCTTCCCCATGCTCCTCACAGTTCACTTAAGCCCACCCCTTTCCTTACAATTTAAGAAAACGGAAACTGTCTTATAGGAAATCTTACACAATCGTGAACAAGAATGAAGCATATAAGCTCTGAGTCAAATAATTCAGAATAAAGATCTTGGCTCTCTCCCTACAGAGCTTATTTCCTCATCTGTAGAATGGGGATCATCATAGTACTAGCCACAGAAAGCTACGTGAAAAAGAAATCACTTTATTTTATATTTCTGATTGCTCTTCCAGACATTTATTTTTATTTACAGTTTGTGTTCCACATAAATCAATGCCATAACATGGTCGGTTACCATGAATGAAAGCATAAATACCCAAACTCAACATACAATCCAAACCAGATGTACAGAATTCACAGATGAAGCAAAGGGGAGTGTTTGTTCACACACACAGTAGCTTCAGATCTCTTGGATCTGGTTGTTCTTGTGTGGAGAGCTCTAAAGATGCTGGTGGGGGGTGGGGGGGAGTTGGAGTTTAGTTACCAAAAACTACTGCATTCGAATTAGATTCGGGACCATCTAAGCATCAGCGTGTGACCAGGCGAACAAAAGACTCCATGGAGTATGCGGGCTAAAATGGTGTCTGTGCTCAGAGACAGCTGTTAAAGGAGTTACTTTTCCGAATCAAGCCCACTGTCAACTTGGGACCAGTTCTCACCATCTAAAAACACTGACTGATACAGAGAATATTCCAAATGTGACTTTCGGATTCATAAAATATTTTTAAAGTATGTACACAAAGAAGATAAACGTTTCTGTGATTCTACTACAAGTTAGCTTCCAGATTTCACTTCCCACATTCTCGATCTACATTGTTTTGGCTCCTTCACATGTTTTTATTTCAGATTTCTTTGGCTGTACTTTGAGAGCAGATGAATTTTCACCTTGTATGAAGTATTGAAGCAACACAGAAATAAAAAAGTAGTATTTTGAAATTAGTTAAGGTCAATGCACTTCCTACTCTTTTGAAATTTTTAAAATGTATTATTAATTAGGAGTTAATACATATATGGTATCATTCCACAGTTCAATCATATCAAACAGTATTGTACAATTGCTACCACCAGTTTCCAAATATTCTTTTTCTTCCTGGACTCCTTGACATTGTCTCCCTTTTAAATCCCCACCCACCCCACCAAAACCCTTATTCTACTTGCTGTCCCTCTAGGTTCATCAATCCTGGGTTTCATCGACCGAAAAACAAGAAAACATGTAACACAACTTCTGGCGCTCTTGTGGGATGGAATACATGATTGAAAACACCTACCATTTGATGTTATAAGTGTAAAAGCAAAATTGACTGAAAATGCTTGCCTGTAGGGCACATCACAGTCCCTCATTCTCAGGCACACATCAATTACATAAAAAGCCAAATGCAATGCCGAAGCCGAAACCTCAAAGGAAGCAAGTTCAGGTCCCGAGAGAACAGGGACAGGTCAGTGAGGGCCAACGTTCCTCTGGAGGATACCGGCATGACGTCAGTCAGCACTGCTGACGCAAGGCATGGAGGATTCACAGTAACACCTGCCATTGGAAGCTCTTTCTAATGTACAAAATGAAAACAACCATGAGAGCTTTTAAAATTACGTAATCATTCTACAGTCTTAGAAACTCGTCGGCGCAGTTCTACCCTGGCTGATAGGGTTGCGATGAGTCCGCCTAGACTCAACGGCAGTGAGTTTGTTTTGTTTCCGTTTGCTTGTTTGTTTGGAACCATGTTATGGCCTTCTAGACTTGACAGACAAAATGAAAACTGATCCTCAGTCCATCTCATCCTTTAGCTCCTGAAAAGATAAGACCATTTGTTCAATTGTCGATATGGCTTGATCCACATTTAAGGAAACCACCTCTTAATTGGGGGCTGCTGAAACTCTTCATCTTGCACATGAGACCACATGCCCATCCCAGGGGCACTCGCCATCTCGTCAACCCCTTCCCGTGCTCATCCATCAGTGAAAGTGGAGCGTCTCGATGGTTTCTGTGTCAATAATATAGGTGTGGCACAGTAGATTCAAGGAAGATCTGATTTTTCCTTGCCTCACCGAACTTTGAGCTACCATTTGGATTGGGTTGAGAAGATGGGGGAAACAGAGGTGTTTCTTTGCCAGAATCTCCTAGCAGTAGAGGTGCCGAAGGGAGAGCAAGGTCATGAGATT